CAGCTCCGCGAGGGCGCAGGGGAGAGCACGCATCATGGGCTCCCCGCTGTAGTCCACTGACGAGGTCGCGACCGCGCCGCTCAAAGAAACGACGGCCGCGGTCTCGAAAGGCTGCTGGGCAACCTTCGCCGCCTGTGAGCGAATGCGCCGCATGGCCGTCTCCTGCGCCACCGTCAGAGCCGCTCCGAGTCGGAGCGATTCCCGAGCGACCCCGCAGTGCATGCGGTTGAGGCCCAGCACACTCACGTGGGTCCACGCCTCAGCCGCGACCGCCCTGGCCACGGGCGTGAGGCGACACCGCGAGCCCTTGGCAGCCTAGGCTCATCTCGCAACCTCCCCAGGGGCGGGAGAGGCAGCGGCCGCAGGTCCCGGACTCGGGCCTTCGCGCCACTCCTCTCGAATGGGAGCGCCTGCCCTGCGAGACGACCCAGGGTGCCAGGATGCAGCTGCGCGAACCTCGCGAGCTCGATTGCCAGGTCGACCCGCCGCAAAGGCCGACCAGACTCGGCGGGCGACCTCCTGCGCCACCCCGTCATGCTCTCCGACACCTCGCTCAGCGGCAGCGACTCAGGCAGTGCCGCCTCAGCCCCGACAGCGCCAGCCCGCGGCGCGACCGTCTCGGCCAGGGCGGCGCCCAGCTCCAGCGGCGGCAGCGCGTCGCCCGCCCCCGCGCCATGAGGCTGTCCCCCGCTGGCGGCGCTCGGCGCTGCTACACCTTCGCCGCTTTCGCCGCAAGCAGGGGGAGTCTGGGCCACGCACGACAACGGCACCTCGGGCGGGGCGAAGCTCAGCGCTTCGCCGTCCAGGGGAAGAGGCCGCCGTCTGGGCAGGGGGGCCCTTCTTTTTCAGCTCGGCCACGACGCTCGCCAGGCGAGCCTGGTACCCCTTGCTCGACTCGCCCTTCTTAATTCGGGGTCGCAGCGCGCGCGTCGGCCCACGCGCCCGCGTTGCCCCCCTTTCCCGCCTGCGCGGCGCGAGGAACCCTCGAACCCTTCGCCTCGGCCAGCTCGTCTCCCAACACCGCTGGAGGCCGCGGCGGCGGGGCAGCCTTCGCGGGCCCCCCCCCCCGCAGGGCCTGCAGGACGAGGCGGGAGCTGCGAACCCCCCTCGCCCCGGCCAGACCCCAAGCCCGGCTTGCGCAGCTTGGCGGTCAGCTCGTCCAATTTGAGCTCGCCCGCCTGGATGCCCCTGATCAGCTCCTCCGCCTCCTCGCCCCGCAGCGCGGTGGGCTCGTCGCGCGGCGGGGTGGGTTCCAGCCACTTCGCCCCCGACCAGTTCCCGTCGTGGAGCGCGACCTGGAGCGCCTTGAACCGCTGCGCGAGCAGGTCCGCCACCGCCGCCGAGCGCCCCTGCAAGAGGTCGAGCGCCTCGGCGAACGCCCACAAATCGCGGCGCGCGGGCACGCCGATCTCCCGCACGGCGTGTTGCGGGAGGTACACCGTGAGGAGCCACCGTAGCACGATCGCGCCCTTCGGGTCGACGGCGCTCTCCCCCTCCTGTGCGCCGAGGAAGTCCGCCATCTGGGCCAAGCTCGCCTCGGCGAGGCGCCCAGGATGCTCGGTGGCCACCCTGCGGCAGTGAGCCCGCCTAGACATCAACCCGCGCGGGATCAGAGATCCGTCCGCGCCCGCGACGCCCTCCAGGCCCATCTCCTCGCTGCTGCCCATCATATCCATCATCATCATCATCATCATCATCATCATCATCATCATCATCATCATCATCATCATCCTCCTCCTCCTCTCCTCCTCCTCCTCCTCCTCCTCCTCCTCCTCCTCCTCCTCCTCCTCCTCCTCCCTCCTCCTCTCCTCATCCTCATCATCTCATCTCATCATCATCATCATCATCATCATCATCATCATCATCATCATCATCATCATCATCATCATCATCATCATCATCATCATCATCATCATCATCATCATCATCATCATCATCATCATCATCATCATCATCATCATCATCATCATCATCATCATCATCATCATCATCACCACCATCATCACCACCATCATCGTCATCACCACCCCATAACTAATCGTCATCCTCGTCGTCATCATCATCATCATCATCATCATCATCATCATCGTCATCGTCATCATCATCCTCATCCTCATCCTCATCCTCATCCTCATCCTCATCCTCATCCTCAAACTCATCCTCATCCTCATCATCATCATCATCATCATCATCATCATCATCATCGTCTTCCTCGTCGTCGTTATCGTCGTCATCACCGTCACCATCACCATCACCATAACCATCATCATCATCATCATCATCATCATCATCATCATCATCATCATCATCATCGTCATCGTCATCGACATCGTCATCATCATCATTACTATCATCATCATCAGCATCATCATCATCATCATCATCAACATCATCATCATCATCATCATCATCATCATCATCATCATCGCCATCACCATCATCATCATCATCATCACCACCACCATCATCATCACCATCTTCATACTCATCATCAGATCCGCATCGTCATCGTCATAGTCGTGGTCATCATCATCGCCGTCCTCCTCGTCGTCGTTGTCATCGTCGTTACGGGCATTGTGAGGGTCGTCCACCTCCTCTTCCTCCTGGTTCCTGGTTCCTGATGGCTATAGGTCTCTTCGAACGCAGCCACACCTCTTCCTCATCCTCCTCGTCATTTTCGTGCTCCTCCCCGGGTGTCCTTGGCCGTGTCTAAGCCGAAACCAGAAAAGCGGAGAGAGAAAGGGAGCAAGCGGCAGGAGGCAGGGAAGGCGCAGCAGAGGGAGAAGCCGCGGCGCTCGTGGTCCGTCCTGGGGTGTGGCTCAGTCCTGAAAGCTTTGTGCGCGGTTTCGGCCTCCACATGCCGAAACAAAGGTCTGAATCTCGCTAAGGTTCGAACTTCTAGGGGGACGTCTGTGCCTTGTGTCCAGACCCCCGACGTCGTAAGTGTGTCGACTTCCACCTGGCCCTCGCGGTCATTTTCTCCCTCGTCGTCGGACGTCGTCGTCGTCGTCGTCGTCGTCGTCGTCGTCGTCGTCGCCAGACGTCGTCGTCGGCGCATCTGTCGGCACAACTGTCGAGGAACTGGTCGGTGCCAGAGGCCCCCGGGCGCCCTCCGAGCCGCACGATGGGGTGATCTGGAGGCCGCCCGGGGGCCGCCCTGACCTCTTCGGCCAAGGCCACACCTCTGGCAGCACCCGCAGCACCCGCAGCACCCGAGAGGCAGCCTGGAAGACCCTCTGGGCCGAGGCAGCGCGCGGGCGGCCAGAGCGCGCTGCCTCGCTCCCAGCCGCCGGGCCCTCGAGAAGCAGCCAGCGCGCCGACGGGAGGGCCCTGGGCGGCCGAGAGCCTGCGGCAGAGCGCGCCGCCGCCGGACGGCCAGTGTGCTGCCCTCCCTGCTGGCGGCGGCCGCGGCCCCCGACCAACCGCTGGCTCTCCTGAAGACCGCTGGGAGGCGAGGGAGTGCCGGCTGGGGCTTCTGCGTGGTGTACGCTGCGGCGCCCCACGGGGCGTGGCGCAACGTGGAGGGCCGCGTGGGCGGGGTGCTGTCGTATTTTTTTTTCCGCCGAACAGGCTCCAGCAAGGGAAAAGGCTCGAGCGCACCCCAGGGTCTTTGTGAGCCTGGGGTGGGGGCCCTTCGAAGCTTGGCCGCAGCCGAGAGATCCTCCGCGGCTATGCATCTGAGAAGCCCGCGCGGAGGGTAGAGGCCTCCCACGACGCCGTGGTCGGTGGGCTCGCAGCTCTACACCCCTCCAAGGCCACGCTGACGACGATGTTGGTTACTTGCCGTCGCTGGGACGTCCATTCCCCGTGCATTTGTCGGTTTCGTGAGTGTTTTTTTGCTCGATGGTCCAGGATGCTCCTCGATGGTTCTCGCCGAGAAAAATGCACACGTCCGAGCGATGCCAAGGTTAACGGCGATGTTGGGAATCAGGTTTTTGCGACGCCGAACTCTCGCAGGACAGACTGTAGGAAGACGCGAAGAGCGCCTTCCTACGAATTGGGTTGGCCACGAACCACCCCCACATGCAATACCGAAACCTACATCGCCGTTAGCGTGTCTACGGCCCCTGCATCACGACTGCTTCAAACGTGCACGGCCGCGACCTACACACGGTCGCCACTGGGCGCGTTGCAGAACGAGTCCGCAGGCCACCTCCACGGTCTCGGCCTGAGGCCCGGGACAGTCAAGAATGACCCAGGACAAAGAAAGGCACCTCGGGGAGCCCATGTCACGTCACGAGAGAGGCGATGAGACTCCAAGACGGCTCCGAGAGGGCCCTCAGAAGTATTCGCATATTCGGCCATGCGCACATCGGAAACATGCCCGAGAACACCTACTGACTGGAAGATTTGCGCGCAAAGTTTCCCGTGGGGCTCCGTTTTACCAAACGCGGTTGCGGCTATGCCCGGCAGCGACACTGGATCACTGACAAGGTCGCGATGCTTCCCAAACGTACTTATACTACGCTGAGCGGAAGCCGACAATGTTGGGCAACTCTGGATATCTGCTTTTGGGCGTCTCGGGAAAGTCGGGGGGGGGGTCTTGCGAGTTACGTGGGGCTTCCTGTTGGGCTTCAGGGAGCCCAGGGCTGGAAATGTTCGTTCGGCCCCCGCCTGGACCGCTGGGCTCTTGGGGGCCTCTTTCCGGCCTCCTGGATGCTGCCCGTAGCCATTTTGGCTCAAGGCAATAAACCGCCCCGACGACCGCGAGTCTTTCGGGGCGAATTCTGAGCGCGAGGGAGGTTCCGCTTTGAGGCCACCTTCCTATCCAACAAGTGAGAGCTGCCACTGCAGCACCCTCCAGTGCCCTCGTGGGTTCGTATCGGAGTGTGGGGCGCACCGATGACGGGCGGCGAGGATGGCTAGGTGGTCAAGGGTAGTGGCAAGAAGAAGAAGAAGAAGAAGAAGAAGAAGAACAAGCAGTGGGGCACGAGGCCCTGCACACAGTGGGGGGGAGGACACAGTGGTGCGACGCCATCTGTGGGCGACCTACCCTGGACATGCGGGGCCTGCGGCACGTGCAGCAACTGGCCGACGCGCACGAGCTGCCGCGCGTGCGGACGGCTGCGGACAGGCGAGGGTGGCAAGGGCAAGGGCCAGATCCAGAACAAGAGCTCCACCAAGGAGACGTGTACGACCCGTCCTCCACCCTGGGCCCAGGACAAGACGAAAGAGGGAGTGGGCAAGGCCAAGACGGAGCTCGAGGTGCTGTTGGGGAAGCGTAAGTGCCTCCAGGAGTTCCCTGTCATCGAGGGTGAAGACCCACCGACGTATGTCACCGAGGAGATTGCGCAGCTGGACAGGGACATCGCGAAGGCTCGCAACCTCAGGGACCAGGCGAAGCCGCTCGCCATCCAGATGCGGGAGGCTCAGGCTCTCTCAGCCAAGCGTACGCCTCAGGAGGAGGTGCTCGCACGTCAGGCCGAGAAGCTGCAGAAGGAGCTGCTCGCGGCGCAGAAGGCAGTGCAGGAGGCGCGCCAGGCGAAGGCCGAGGCCAAGGCCAACGAGCTCGCTCTGCAGGCCAAGATCGCGGCGCAGCAGCCTGCGGCCCCAGCGTCCGACCTCGATGTCTGGCGCGTCCAGCTCGAGGCGATGGTCACCAAGGCGGGTCTGGGCCAAGGTCGAGACCCTCATCACCACGGCCGCTGCTGAGGGTGATGCTGGCGCTGAGCCTCCTGAGCAACCTGTTGGGGGCAGTGGGGGCAAAGCCGATGAAGGCAGTGGTGGAGGATTCGCCGACGACGTGGACATGCCTGAGGGAGTCACCGAGGAGGAGAAGCAGTGGGTCAATGGGGAGGCCCCAGTCCCTGACCCTGTGCAGCAACCTGAGCGGTACAAGCGTTTCCAGGAAGTACTGGTCGGGGTGCATGCGCCCCAGGTGGCGAAGAAGATGCGGATGGGGTAGCAGTCTCCTGTACTTTGTGCTCAACGGCGCCGACCTGGGGTATGGCGCCTCCCCGTGGCGTGCAGCTGTGGTCGAGCATCTACGGCGGCAGCAGCGGGTCCCTGGCTGGGCAGGCAGTCAGTGGACCGCCGAGGGGTGGATCCCGCTGTCCGAGGGCAGCGAGAGGGAGTGTGACGCCGAGGTGAATACCACGGGCGTTGGCTGGGCAGGGTACGCGCGGATCCTCCAGGATCCGAAGGAGAGGCGCCTGCTGATCCCACAGCCGATCGAGGTCGGCAGGAGAAAGGACATCACCCTGTGGACCTTCAACGGCTCCAGCTGGGGTACGATCAAAGAGAAGTTGCTCGAGGTGAAGGGCGAGAACGGTGGGAGGCGACGGGCACGGCACGTCTACGTCTTCCAGGAACATCGGCTGCTGGATGAGGCGTGGGCTGGAGTTACAGGCAGCATGAGGGCATGCGGATATCAGATCGGAGGTACCACAGCCGTTCCCACAATCGGGCGTGAAGGCGAACCAGGTACCTCGGCGGGCGTAGGCTTTGCAGTGCCGAAGGACATGGGCATGACTTATCCCTTTGGCCAAGCCAAGTGGGACGCCTCGCCCAAGGGCTCGGCTGGACGGGCTGCGATTGCCTGGATAGCAGCGGGGCGGGGAGGCATGCTGATCGCGACGGTCTACCTGTGGACGGCCGAGGGCCTGTCCAACCGCAACGTTGCCATTGTTACGAAGGTTGTGGAGATTATGGAGAGCTTGGGCATGCCATGGGTGATAGGCGGCGATTTCCAGAACCCACCTGGCGTCCTGGCAGAGGTGAAGGCCATCAAGCAGGCGGAGGCCATGCTAGTGGCGCCCACGACGGTGTGCGGGACGTGCCGCACAGCTGGAGGTAGCTCGACCATCGACTATTTCGTGGTGTCCAAGGGCTTGCGTGACAAGGTGGTCAAGGTCGTGCTGCAGGAAGGGTGGCCGTCGGCGCCACACAAGCCAGTCGGCCTCACCCTGGATTTGAGCGTCCAGGTGAAGCGTACCAGGACCCTGCAGAAGCCGAAGGATCTGGACGAGGTCATCATTGGTTGCGCCCCTGAGCCACCGGTTTACGACAAGGTGGGGGCTTTCGAGTCGGTGGATACTGCCACCAGGTACTGGAGCCACTTCATGCAGAAGCTGGAGCGTGAGGCCTTTGGGCTACGCGGGATGGTGTGGGAACCACAGCATCAGCAAGCAGGAAGGGCGCGTGAACCACGTTAGCAGATCATGGAGGTCAAGCAGGGTGGTCGTAACCTGCCGAAGCCGACAGGGGCGGCGCTCTGGTGGAGGTGGCTTGCGAGGACCTTGGGCAACCTGAGGGGCGCCTACGACCGTCTGCACTCGAAGACGGTTAACGCTGGCCCCATCACCCAGAGGCTGGTCGATGTTCTTGCGCAGGAGAGGCTGTTCAACCTCAGCGGCACGGCTCGCAACATGAGGATGGTGGACCAGGCCGATCGGGTGCTCTGGGCTGCGAGGTGTCAGGTGATCGCGGAAGGGCTGTGGCGCGGGGCCGACAAGCAGCACATCCTGAAGGCGCTGCTGGAGGAGGCGAGAGGCAAGTCCAAGCGCTTCGACCAGGAGTTGGTCAACGAGAGGAGGAAAGAGTGGGCAGCCAAGCTGGAGTCGGCGGCGAAGGGTGCGGCAGGCGGCCTTCACAGGCTTTGCAAGCCAGCTGAGGTCTGGCGACCACGGCGGGCGGCATCTGCTGCTCATTCCGCCGACCCATTGCAGGCTGCTCAGTACGCGCTAGATGAGTGGAACAAAATCTGGCGAGTGGGAGAAGAAGTGCAGACAGCTCCCTGGCCCTGGGAGTTGGAGACACGCATGGAGCTGAACGACTTCAACGACGGGGACTTCGATCGGCTGAAGAAGGTCGCTCGCAGTTTCAAGAAGAAGACGGCGATAGGGTCAGACAGATGGCACCCGTCTATGTTGCAGGGCGCCTCGGACGACGCGCACTGGACATTGCTCGCCATCCTGCGGGAGGTAGAGAAGACCCTTGTCTGGCCATCGCACGCGGCTACGATCGTTTTCTTCCTCATCCCCAAGAATGAGCTGGTCGACCGTGCCATCGGCCCCCTGCCCACCCTGGTGAGGGTCTGGGAGATCCTGAGGGAGCCGTACTTGCAGGCGTGGGCGAGGGAGAATCACATGTCGTGGGACTGCACATCCTACGGGCGCGCAGCTGAGGACGCGGCTTGGGAGGTTCTGTTGGCTCACGAAGCGGACGCACCTGGGGACGCTGATCCTGCAGCCACTGCCACGATCACGGCGATCCTGGACCTGGTGAAGGCCTTCGAGAGGGTGAGTTTGCACGTCCTGTTGGAGCGGGGCAAACGCATGGGCTTTCACACAGGCGTTCTGGCGGTGGTCTGCTCCTGTTTTGCCATGATGCGGCGTGTCAGCACGGGGGACGCGGTGTCGCTCGAGACGCGCAGGGTGTGCACCATCATTGCAGGCAGCAAGTTCTCGGTGGGTTTCCTTAAGATGGTGATTCAGGATACGGTCGACGGTTTGGTGGTTGAGCATCCGCTGGCGACGTGGCGTATGTACGTCGATGACCTCAGCATCAGGCAGAGGGGTACGCAGCAGTGGGTGGCAGATGTCTTCCCGCTGGCGATCGACGACAGCATTGCGAGCTTTGCTGAGCTGGGCCTGGAGTTCTCCGTGAGCGCAAAGGGGCAAGGGCGCGGTCATGGCTAGTACCAAGTGGCTCAGAGACGCAGTGCAGGGCGATATGAGCCTGAGGGGTTTGCCAGTTGTCCGTGCCTGCCCATACCTGGGGGTCGACATGGTTTCCAGTGGCACGGCGCTCAAGGCAAAAAGCGGCAAGCGTTTCGCCAAGATGCGGAGGCGGACGGCCAGGTTACGCCAGCTACGGCGAGGAGGTAAAGGAATGGCAAGAGGCATGGGATTGGTGTACAAGTGTGGGCTGAAGCGGTCGGTGTCGCATGGGTGCAAGTGCTTGGGCATGCCAGAACACCAGCTTCAGCAAGTTCGGCGCGCCGCAGGCAAACTTCTCCCAGGGTCGAGGGGGGCGAAGAGCCTCACGCTGCAGTTGGCCCTCGCGAAGGAGGAGCCCACATACGAGGTCACGGCTGCTCCTGTGGTTCGTTGGTCACGCGCCGCGTGGGAGCTCACGGTGGGTGAAGAAGCGGCGAGAGCAGCGCAGTGGGAGGCCCAGCAGGGGCAGCATGAACGACCTGATCAACAATGCACAGGGCCAGAGGCTGGTGTGCAGACCCTCACTCACCCCCACACCAAAGGCACCTTGCTCGCAGGGAGAGGTGCTGTAGGTGATGTCGCTGCTCTGGATGAAGCACTCGGTGTCTGGACGGCGCTGTGGATCACCGACCTTCGCGGGGTGGACTACCAAGACGTCGACGACTGGCTTGAGTGGGCGACTGTGCTTGTGGGGGTGAGGTACGAGGGGGCCTCGCAGGCTGATATCGTAGCTACTTGCAGACGATCGTGGGCTCGGGCACGATGGAGACGAGCGGCGGCGATCAGGTACATCAATGACCTGGACTACGTGGACCGAGTGGAGATGCTGAAGCAATACAGGTACGAGCGTGGCGCGGTGCAGCAGGTACTCCGACGGCTGCTCGGTGACAAGCTGCGACGCGTTCCTGACGATGGAGAGCGGCAGCTGGAAGCGGGCAGCGGGTACCACAACATCGGCAGCCTCGGCGAGTTGCTGGATCTCGTCGTGCAGGCGGGACGGCAATTGGTCATCTCGGAGGAGCGTGTCAGCGGACGACGGCGGGACCTCAGCGAGCGTGAGGACCTGCAGGCGCAATTCCAGAGGGCGTGGGAGCAGCAGCCAATCGCAGTGGGCATGCAGCCGCAGTGGGGGCGTGTCAAAGGCCCCGCAGGTACTGTCATCATGTCCATACGCAGAGCGGGCTGGAAGTGGCCGAAGTGGCACATGTTCCTGGTGCGCAATGGGGAACAGCTCAACCTTTTGGAGACCTGCCCCAATGACGTCGGGATGTTATTGCAGCAGGACCTGGAGGCACAGCTGTGGGCGCAGTGGACAGCAGAGCCTGGGCACGAGAGCTTGACGCCAGCACCGTTCTTGCAGCCCGCTAGGGCGGTGTTGGGGGCCAGGAACTTACCGAAGCATGCGAAGAATGCAGCGAGGAAGGTGCTCATAGGCGACTCCTGGACCATGAGTAAGCTCTGTAAGCACAACATCACGCCGATGGACATCTGTTTGGCGTGTGGCGAGGGCGTGGGCACGCCACACCACAGGTATTTCGTGTGCCCCAAGCTGCGGGACGTGCGGAACAAGGGGAAGGCAGACTGGCAGCACGTGGCGGAGTAGCAGGTCGACAGCCTGTTGTGGACGAGGAGGCGTGTGAGAGATCTGTCGGTGGACTGGCAGTTTCGCACCGTGACGGAGGAGCAGTACCATTTCGTGGTGAACGAGGGCTCCGATGCTCACCTCACGGGAGACATCGTTTGCGACGGGTTGAAGATGTGAAGCAGCAAGTGGGCGCAGGCTGGGTGGGCAGCTATGGCGATCAACGGAGAAGGTGCGCCAACTATCCAGCTCTGGGGCCCATTGTCGTGCCAATACAGTGTGCAGAAGACCGTGAAGCGAGCGGAGATGTGGGCCTTCCCCAAGGTTTTGGAGGTGGTGATGCCACCATGCAGGATCCACACCGATCACCAGGGGATTATCGACGGTCTGGCTCGAGGTGCTCGTTCGTGCCTTTCCTGGAAGCGGCCACACGCGGACTTGTGGCGTAGGATATGGCACAAGGTGGTCGAAGTTGGTTTGGACCGAAGCTGCGTGGGGCACGTCAAGGCGCACCGTTCGAAGGCCACGATCAACAGGCTCGAGGAGGGCCAGCAGGCCATCGCTAGGGGTAACGCTGCCGTGGACCTCCTGGCGAAGTGCGGTGCCGAGGACGACTACGGTTACGGCAGGCAGGAGGTGCTCGATAAGCTCGGGGAGAAGATCAAGTGGGCCATCCAGAACGTCGGGTGGTGGCACCAGCAGCTGAACGGAGAGTGGCCTGATGTCCCCCCACGGCCGCCTGGGCCCAGGCGCAGGCGGCAGCAGCAGCCACACATCCAGCTGACGAAGCACGAGGTGGTGCAGCGTGGGCAGTGGCAGGTGTGTACGCGGTGTGGGAGGCGTGCAGCCACGGCACGCATGAGGAAGAAGTTGTGGGAGGCGGAGTGCCGCCCACCTCCGTGGCGCATGGTAGACGAGGTGTACGAGACAGCTGGCGCGGGCTCGCTCGAGGCCTGCGTCGCAGCTGCACGAGGAGTGCGGCAGCGTGCGGCTACGTCGACGGCTACGGGGGTCACGGGGGTTGGGCCTGTGGCGGCTGCCGTCGCCGTGGGAGCTGCCGTGGCGGGTCTGGCCGCAGGAGAGCGAGGTGCTGCTGAATATGCAGAGCCTGGTGGGGCTTCCCAGCTGGCAGCTGGGGGAGCTCGCGAGGCCCACTTGGGCCAGGGCCAGGGGAGTGATGCATCAGCGGCGAGGTCGCGGTCCCCGAGGAGGCAGCCGAGGCTTGAAGAGGCGCCACCTGACGCACCCGACAGACGGAGGCAGCATGTGGTGCAGATATGCGGGCCCTATGTCGTCTGTCGAGAATGTGGGGCATATGCGGCGCAGCGGAGGGACGGGATGAACAAGGAGTGTCCTGGTCCGCTGCCCAGGCGAGGGGTGTGTTCGGGTGCTGACACCAAGCGGAAGCGGCGTGACAGGCTGCTGAAAGGTGAACATCCGCAAACGGGGCGACCACTTCCCTGGAACCAGTACAGCGAGGGCGAGGTGGTGGTCTACGGCCAGGCGGTGGAGTGCGACCTTGAGGAGGGCCACGTCTGGGAGCACTGGTACCAGTGCGGCGTGGACTGAGTCGAGGTGCTTCGCACTGCTGCAGCTGCCCCTCATGGCAGGACAACTGTACTGGGGGGAGGGGTGTAAAAAAAGGCCTCCTGGATGCTGCTTGAGGCCGCTTGGGGGCCCCTTGGGGGCCTCTTGGGCTCTCTTGGGGGCCTCTTGGGGCCTCCTCGGAGCATCATGGACTGCTTCTTGAAGTCGTCATGGGACCTTCTTGGCATGTCTTCGGAGGCCTCTTAGAAAGAGCTTTGAATCCTTTTGGGTGCCGTCTTGGGGCCACTTGGAGCCTCTTTTGGGCTTCTTGGGGGCCTCTTGGAGCCTCTTGGGGGCCTCTTGGGGCCTCTTGGGGGCTTCCTGGGGGCCTCTTGGGGGCATCTTGGAGCGGAGAGCTTGATTTGTCAGTTCGCGTTCCCTCTCTTGGGCCCCTCTTGGGGCCTTCTTGGGACCCTCTTGCGCCGTCGTGGGCGGCTCTGGGGCCGTCTCGGGGCTCTCTTGGGCCGTCTTGGGGCCCTTTGGGGGGCCTCTTGGGCCGTCTTGGAGCGGTTTTGGGAGCCTCTTGGGCGGTGCTTTAGCGTCGGAAGCACGAAACAGCGAGAATGCGAAAAACATTGAAATAACCAATAAACATCAACGATGTTTGCCCTCTCGGGGCGCTCTTGGGCGGCATCTTAAGGGCGCCTCTTGGGGCGTCTTGGGGGCCTCCGGGGCAGTTTAGAACGCATCGTGCGCCGCTGGACGGCATCCTGGGGGTGTCTCGAGACCGTCGGCGGCCGCCGGGGCTGCTGCCTGAGGGCGCCCCCGGGCGATGTTGGGCCTCCCCCAGAGGTGGGCCTGGGCCCCCTGCACCCACATCTGCGGTCGAGGTTCCGGCCCTCGACCCCCGAGCCCGGTGCGCCTTTATGTGTACATACACCCTGCGAAATGCTTTAGAAATCATGGGTTAAGAAATTCATAGTCTCAGAATTTTAATAAAAACCCAGAATGTTTATTCAAATCTTAGGATTTACATTGAAACATTAAGAATAATCGAGACTCTGACCGAAAACTTAAGTTTTCTTAAGCATCGCCTAAGGTGTACATATACACACGTATATATTACATGTAAAGCAGTACACTGAAAGCCGCCCCTGCAGGAGGCGCGCTGGCACACCGTGAGCAGCCGCGCAAAAAAGCGGCTACGCCTCCTCACAGCTCTGCCGAGGCCGAAAAAAGAGGACCCTCACCTCATGCACCCGCTTCTCCTTCTCCGCTGCTTCTCCTCTCTCTCTCAACATCCTCATCCGCTCGGTCTCTGGGTGAGACGACTCTGGGCGAGACCGACCAGCCAGAGGCCGAGAGCGCGTCTGGTTCTACTGCGCGCCTGCGGGCTCGAGCCCGCAGGCGCGCGAAAAGGGACGGACCATAAAAATCAGCACTGTTCGGCAAATACCTGGCGGTAAGCAGTGGGGCCGCGATGGGGGGTGTGGCACTCAAAGAAGGCGACGGGCCACTTGGAAGGAATCGGCATCCAAAATCCAAGCAAACCTCGCGCCCCCCACCTAGTCAGCGGAGGGGAGGAGGGGGGGGGCATTGCAGAGGACCGCCCGGACCCTGCTCCGTTTCTGCGCGCCGCCGAGCCGACCTTTTCCCAAATCGCTCCTCGCCCCAGGCTCTTCCACGACATCCCCTCCCGATGGACGAACGGCGCCGAGAAATTGCTGCAGCGCGTAGGGCAGAGGGGCCTGCCGGTCCACCTCTCAGGCAGGCGTCGGCTGAGGCGTCGGTGCAGGTGACGGCGCAGGCGTGTCAGTCAGCTGGTACGCGCTCTTGGTCGGAGGGTACCACAGGTCGAAGCTGTCGCCGGTGGTAAAGGTGCAGAAGCTGCGCGACGACTCCGTCGGGCAATACTTGTAGTGCTCAGTGGTCACCCCTGCGGTGGTGACCTCGTAGGTGTCGCTGTACCAGCCCTCCACGCAGTCCCTTGTATCGCACATGACGCACTGCCTGAACGTGTTCGTTGAGGAGCCGGCGTTCGTCGCGTAACTGGTAATGTCGTCTATCAACGGACAGTGGTTGCCACTATCTCCGATGCACACATACCCGATCCAGCAAAAGGGGCGCTCCATAGTCTTGCCAAGAAGCGGCTTCCACAAGCTGCCGATGCCGGGGTGCTCGTTGAAGAAGAACCAGAAGTAAATGCTCCCGACGACGAGGATGCCTGCCACGGCCCAGGCCATCGCGGAGCACACGTATTCCCAAATCTTCCAGCGGTCGTTGCGGCCGCTCGTGAAGCCGATGAGGAGCCCATAGACGAGACCACCAACGTGCACAGTGTGAGCTGTAGAACTTTCCTCGTCACGCGAAGCCCAGAAGGCGGCCGACTCCACACCAGCGACCAGAAGCAAGACTGATACTGTCCCAAAGCGCCACTTCTTGTCGCCCCAATTCTGAATCAGGTCTGCGGCGTGCATGCCGTAGAGGGAGTAGCACCCTCCGGATGCGCCGTACGAGGTGGTGTAGGGATCGAAGAGCGCCCAGCAGAAGGCACCGCCGAGAACCCCGACGGTCCACATGACAGCGAACATGCCTGTTCCCTGCCAGCCCTCCAAGGGAATGCCGAGCATGATCAATGAGAAGCAGTTGGCGCCAACGTGCATAATGCTCCCATGCGTGAACTGGTAGCTCCACCACCTCCACAGGAAGCTGATGTCGTAGCCCTCGTGGCAGAAGTTGTAAGCGTCCAGGGTGGTGAACCCGGGCCAAATGCTCTCCACGCCTCCCTTCATGAAGAACATGATGGAGGGGGTCCACGCCTGCTTCGCGTACATACGCCAGCCCCACGCGTCTTTCTGGCAGGGCGGATAAGCTGGATATGTGGTCGGCAGCGAGCTCAGCAGGAAGCACTCAGGCCACGGCCCGCTCTTCCAGCCGATGCCCACGCACGCCTCGTCGGCAGCGCTGCACTCGTTCTTGCAATCGTCCAGGAACAGCTGCTCGTTCGGGTCTTTTTTCACGTACTCGGTCAATTTAAGGTCGTCTGTGATAACCGTGTCGGACTGCAGTAATGAGTAGGCCATCGTGTTGAACGCGTTCACGCCCCAGAAGCCGAGGCACATGAGCACCTCAATGATTGTGAACCAGGGCCAGAACTGCCTTAGGTTGTCAATGATCTCGTCCTCCTGAGCCTCCTCCTCGACGTCAGCATCGAAGATGGCGTCGCCCTTCGCAGCCAAACTCCTTACGCTGTGGGCACCGTGCTCCAAAACGTTCGCCACAGTCCCCGTGACACCGCCCGCCTCCCCGCTCATACGGACGATCTCCTGGTGCGTCCTGTCAGCCTCTTCCTCGTTAGCTTCTCTCTGCTTCCTCTTCGCCTCGATCCTCTTCCGGCGCGCCTTCTTCGCCCTTTTGCTCGTGACAGGCCGCGAGAAGTTGAGCTTCAACAACTTCTTCCCGCCGTTCATTATGGCCTGCACGTCCGCTGCGTCGAAATCCCCATCACCGTCCATGTCAAAGCGCGCGGCGCCGAACCAGAAGGCGAAGAAGGCAAGGAAGATATAGCAAATCTTCGCCCTCACGGTGACGTTCTCGGGCGCCACGGCCACAGGCGTCGGAGGGTCTGAGCTGTCGTTACTGATGCGGCGCGGCGGCGGACTGCTGCTGCGCTGCTCCACTGGTGGCGGACTCGGAGGATTGCCCTGTGCCGCCGGCTTCCCATTGCTGCCGCCTTCGCCCGTGCCGCCCATGACCCTGTGCTCCACGCCCAGCCCACCCGTGGCTGCGAGATCGCGGGGACTCTCGCGACTTTGCCACGGCCGCGGACTGCGCGGACTGCGCGGACTGCGCTGCTCCACTGGTGGCGGACTCAGAGACTTGCCCTGTGCCGCCGGCTTCCCCTTGCTGCCGCCTTTGCCTGTGCCGCCCATGACCCTGTGCTGCACGCCCAGCCCAGCCGTGGCTGCGAGATCGCGGGAACTCTCGCGACTACTTTGCCGCGGCCTTGAGCCAGAATGGCTTGAGCCACCACGTATATGTTATACATATATATACACACAAGACTGCAATGGCGCTTCGCGCCACGCACCTTGGTCCTTGAAGTTTGGTATACAGGCGGAATGGCAGCAAGGTAAAACAGATAATTTAGTGATAACTCCTTGCTGCCTTTTCCGGCATCGCCGTTATAATAATGTTAGTCGGCATCCTTACTCCATGTTTCTTTTTCCTCAGTCTCGCCCTACCCTGCGAATTCTCCCCCATCCTCCTCGGCTCTTTTTGCGAAGGCTCCTCTTTGGAGAGCCTCTGGGCGCCTCACAGAAGTTGTTCAAGCTTTCTTAAGGCCTTCTGGAGGCCTCCTGGGCGTCTTCTGGGGGCCTCTGAGCGGCGTTTTGGCGCCTCCTGGGATGTGTTGGGCCGGAAGCTCGGAATTCGAGAGTGGCTTTCTCCTTCTGGGACCCCTCTCGAAGTCGTCTTGGGGTTCTCTTGGGCCGTCTTGGGGCCGTCCTGAGCCACTCGTGCGCAGCCTTGGAGCGCTCCCGGAGGCCTCCTAGGCCGTCTTGGAGGCCTCTTGGGCCGTCTTGGACGCGGTGAAAGCCCAAGATGCGAACATGCGAAAAATATACGTTTTCCCATAGGAATGGCACGATTTTGTTTCTTGGACCTCTCTTGGGGTGCCTCTCGGAACGTCTTGGGGTGCTTTTGGGAGCCTTTTGGCGCCTCTTGGCGGCATTTTGGCGCCTCCTGGAGCCTCTTGGGCCGGAAGCTCGGAATTCGAGGTTGGCTTTCTCCGTCTGGGACCCCTCTCGAACTCGTCTTGGGGCTCTCTTGGGCCGTCTTGGGGCCGTCCTGGGCCACTCGTGCGCAGCCTTGGAGCGCTCCCAGAGGCCCGTAGACCGTCTTGGGCGCCTCTTGGGCCGTCTTGGACGCGGTGAAAGCCCAAGAGGCGAACATGCGAAAAATATACGTTTTCCCATAGGAATGGCACGATTTTTGCTTCTTGGGCCTCTCTTGGGCTGCCTCTCGGAGCGTCTTGGAGGCTTCTGGGACCTTCTTGGTGTCATGACAGGCGTCTTGGAAGGCATCTGGAGCCATCGGAGCGCGTTCCGAAGCCGCCTGCGAACGATCTTGGACGGCGTCCGGCGGTCCGACGAGCCTCCGAGCCCCCCGGGGCCCACATTTGCGGTCGAGGTCCCGGCCCCGGGCCCCCAGACCTGGTGCGCCGTTATATGTAGATTATAATTATAGGTATAGGGATAGGGATAGTAATAGTAATAGTAATAGTAATAGTAATAGTAATAGTAATAGTAATAGTAATAGTAATAGTAATAGTAATAGTAATAGTAATAGTAATAGTAATAGTATTAGTAATAGTAATAGTAATAGTAATAGTAATAGTAATAGTAATAAGGTAGTAATAGATTATAAATAGGATAGGGATAGTAATAGTAATAGTAATAGTAATAGTAATAGTAATAGTAATAGTAATAGTAATAGTAATAGTAATAGTAATAGTAATAGTAATAGTAATAGTAATAGTAATAGTATAGTAATAGTAATAGTAATAGTAATAGTAATAGTAATAGTAATAGTAATAGTAATAGTAATAGTAATAGTAATAGTAATAGTAATAGTAATAGTAATAGTAATATATATACTAATAGTAATAGTAATAGTAATAGTAATCGTAATAGTAATAGTAGTAATAGTAAATTAGTAATAGTAATAGTAATAGTAATAGTAAAGTAATAGTAATAGTTAATAGTAAAAGTAATAGTAAATAATTTAAAGTAATAGTAATAGTAATAGTAATCGTAATAGTAATAGTAATAGTTAATAGTAATTAGTAATAGTAAATATAATAGATAATAGTAATAGTAATAGTTAATAGTAATAGTAATAGTAATAGTAATAGTAATAGTAATAGTTGACAGTTAATAGCTACTAGATATAAGTTGATAGTAATAGTAAGAGTAATAGTAATAATAATAGTAATAGTAATAGTAATAGTAATAGTAATAGTAATAGTAATAGTAATAGTAAGAGTAATAGTAATAGTAATAGTAATAGTAATAGTAATAGTAATAGTGATAGTGATAGTGATAGTGATAGTGTTAGTAATAGTAATAGTGATAGTAATAGTAATAGTAGTAGTAATAGTAATGATAATAGTAATAGTAGTAGTAATAATAATAGTAATAGTAATAGTAATAGTAATAGTAATAGTAATAGTAATAGTAATAGTAATAGTAATAGTAATAGTAATAGTAATAGTAATAATAATACTAATAGTAATAGTAATAGTAATAGTAACAATAGTAATAGCAATAGTACGTTTGATAGTAATAGTAATAGTACTAGTCATATTAAGAGTAAGAGTAAGAGTAAAAGTAAGAGTAAGAGTAAGAGTAGGAGTAGGAGTAGGAGTAGGAGTAGGAGTAAGAGTAAGAGTAAGAGTAAGAATAAGAGTAAGAGTAAGAGTAAGAGTAAGAGTAAGAATAAGAATAAGAATAAGAGTAAGAGTAAGAGTAATAGTAATAGTGATAGTAATAGTAAGAGTAATAGTAATAGTAATAATAATAGTAATCGTAATAGTAATAGTGATAGTGATAGTGATAGTGATAGTAAATAGTAATAGTAATAGTAATAGTAATAGTAATAGTAATAGTAATAGTAATAGTAATAGTAATAGTAATAGTAATAGTAATAGTAATAGTAATAGTTAATAGTAATAGTAATAGTAATAGTAATAGTAATAGTAATAGTAATAGTAATAGTAATAGTAATAGTAATAGTAATCGTAATCGTAATCGTAATCGTAATCGTAATCGTAATCGTAATCGTAATCGTAATCGTAATCGTAATCGTAATCGTAATCGTAATCGCAATCGTAATCGTAATCGTAATCGTAATAATAATAGTAGTCGTAAGAGGAGTAGTAATAGTAATAGTAAGGGCAATAGTAGTAGTAATAGTAATAGTAATAGTAATAGTAATAGTAATAGTAATAGTAACAGTAATAGCAATAGTAATAGTAATAGTAATAGTAATAGTAATAGTAATAGTAATAGTAATAGTAATAGTAATAGTAATAGTAATAGTAATAGTAATAGTAATAGTAAAAGTAAAAGTAATAGTAATAGTAATAGTAATAGTAATAGTAATAGTAATAGTAATAGTAATAGTAATAGTAATAGTAATAGTAATAGTAAATAAGTAATAGTAATTGTAAAGGAATAGGAATAGGAAATTAGTAAAGTAATAGTAATAGTAATTAGTAATAGTAATAGTAATAGTATAGTATAGTAATAGTAATAGTAATAGTAATAGTAATAGTAATAGTAATAGTAATAGTAATAGTAATAGTAATAGTAATAGTAATAGTAATAGTAATAGTAATAGTAATTGTAATAGTAATATTGATACTAATCGTAAGATTAGTAGTAATCGTAATCGTAATCGTAGTAGTAATAGTACCAGTACTAGTACTAGCAATAGTAATAGCAATAGTACGAGTAATAGTTATAGTAATAGTAAAAGTAGTGATAATAATAATAATAGTATTAGGATTAGTACTAGTAATAGAAATAGTGATAGTAATAGTAATAGTAACAGTAACAGTAATACGAATAGGAGAAGGAATCGGAGTAAGAATAGGAATAGGATGAGGATTAGGAATAGGAATAGGAACAGGAATAGGAATAGGAATACGATTAGGAATAGGAATAGAAACAGGAATAGGAATAGGAATAGGAATAGGAATAGGAATAGGAATAGGAATAGGAATAGGAATAGGAATAGGAATAGGAATAGGAATAGGAATAGGAATAGGAATAGGAATAGGAATAGGAATAGGAATAGGAATAGGAATAGGCATAGGAATAGGAATTGGAATAGGAATAGGAATAGGAATAGGAATAGGAATAGGAATAGGAATAGGAATAGGAATAGGAATAGGAATAGGAATGAGAATAGGAATAAGAATAGGAATAGGAATAGGAATAGGAATAGTAACAGTACTAGTACTAGTACTAGTACTAGTACTAGTACTAGCAATCGTAATCGTAATAGTCATAGCCATAGTCACAGTCACAGTCACAGTCACAGTCACAGTCACAGTCACAGTAATAGTAATAGTGATAGTAATAGTAATAATTATAGTAATAGTAATAGTAATAGTAATGGTAATAGTAATAGTAATAGTAATAGTAATAGTAATAGTAATAGTAATAGTAATAGTAATAGTAATAGTAATAGTAATAGTAATAGTAATAGTAATAGTAATAGTAATAGTAATAGTAATAGTAATAGTAATAGTAATAGTAATAGTAATTAGTAAGTAGTAATAGCAATAGTAATAGTAATAGTAATAGTAATAGTAAGAGTAATAGTAATAGTAATAGTAATAGTAATAGTAATTAGTAATAGAAAAAGTAATAGTAATAGTGATAGCAATAGCAATAGTAATCGTAATAGTACTAGTACGGGTACTAGTACGATTACTAGTACTGGTAATAATAGTAATAGTAATAGTGATAGTAATAGTAATAGTTAATATTAATAGTAAATAGTAATTGTAATAGTAATAGTAATAGTAATAGTAATAGTAATAGTAATAGTAATAGTATAGTAATTATAGTGTAATCAAGGAATAGGAATAGGAATAGGAATAGTAAAGTAATAGTAGTAGTAGTTAGTAATAGTAATAGTAATTAGTAATAGTATCGTAATTAGGACTAGTAATAGTAATGTAATATAATAGACTAGTAATAAGTAATAGAATTAGTAATAGTAATAGTAATAGTAATGTAAATAGTAATAGTACTAGTATAGTACTAGTACTAGTACAGTACTAGTAAGCTAGTACTGTAATAGTAATAGTAATTTATAATTAGTTAATAGTAATAGTAATAGTAATAGTAATAATAATAGTAATAATGCTAATAATAGTAATAGTAATAGTAATAGTAATAGTAATAGTAATAGTGATAGTATTGGTAATAGTACTAGTAATAGTAATAGTAATATAATAGCAATACTAATACTGATAGTAATAGTAATAGTAATAG